TCAACAAGCTTTTATTCATCTCTTGCCTTCTTTCTGCCTGCTTGGTTGTTTTCCTATTTGCTTGCATCAGTGTAGTTTGCAAGGCTCATCTATGTAAATCAATAGTTACTTAAAAGCCTTACATCCAACTCTTGGAAAGAAAAAGAATCTTGTGCAAATCTCCCTCAGAAACAACGCAACACAAGACTTGTCCAGCTTTAATTCATCTTCCATGGCCAAATGTCAGGCAGACAGTCTAAGATACTCAAAGATAGAATTGGGTTTTTTTCATTTTCTTATCACTGGTCTGTAAATAGTTGTTGCGCTGGTCCTGCCATGAGTGATGAAATACATGCCAGTAGCTCCCCCCAGCTCCAGATCCACTTGCCCCCGCCTCCAGCACGGTCAGTTTTGCAGCCCCCAGGCACTACCCTGCCTGTACCTTTAGCCCTGCCTCTGCTTTCACCCACCCACCCACTCACTGAGTGACTGAACCTGGGGGAGAGTCACCATTCACAGGGGCTGCCCTGCCCTGATGGGTGATTCTACAGACTGATGGGGAGCTAAAAGCTCATCTTTAAAAACTGATTTCGACTTGAGGTAGTATTTACAGTTCTCTTGGCTCAGTCCTTTCGTGAAAGAGAATAAAATAGTCTTAATTTGTTTTTTAAAGGCAGCATCTTTCACAATGTGACTGACTCCCAGCCTGTCTATCACTAGTCTCAAGGCTGATCGGTCTTAGTGCTGAAGGGCTCTTTTGTGAAGTCCAGGGCATCAGTGTCCAGCTGTATGTCTGCATGCTGCAGCTGGTGGAACAGGTGAAGTATCTTTTTGCAACCACTGCTCCCCTCCCTCTACCTCTGTCCTCTCCTTTTATGTTCCATAACTGAACTACAGAGGAGGATTTTGCTGGTTGACGATTGCGCAACATAACCTGGTGCATAGCCCAAAGGGAGGAGGGTGTTCATGCTAGGCAGAGCACTGAGAATTCAGGAGAGACTTTTATAACCTACTGAACCACATCAGACCTAGGAAAGATCTAAAGATTATGTGGTCCTTTTCAATGTTTTCTTTCCTCACCCCTGCTTTTTCTTAATGCCAAGCCTGCTAATGGTTTATGCTGGTTGAAAAAACAGTTCAAGTTTTGCCCCGGTATCAGAGTGGCAGTGAAGCGTGTGTGAGGGTTTGCTCAAGTGGCAAAGCATATCTGATCTGAAAAAAAGCAAACAGCTGAGGCCATTTGAACAAGTCATGCTCCTGTACACTTTTAATCATTGCGTCTGCCAAAAGAGATCTTGCACAAGTAAATCTGGCTTCATGCAACAGGAACATTTTTGTGTGTATGCAAGCTGGCTTTGACTTCTTGATAATGTGGTCTCTGGAAGCAGTGTTAATGTGCTTGTTATACTCCTGGCTGCTGGAATTACCTTAGTATCAAGGTATTCATGGTTGGTGGTTTGGTATGTAGCTCTACGTTTTATTGACTTTGTCTCTACTAAGCTTCCTTACCAGCATGTGCTCTGATGGGGAGTCTCCTTTGGCTGCTTCGAGGAGCTGGTGAGAAGAAGAGCTAATTCATAGGACATTAGAGTGCTAGGCAAGTCTGAGACAATTTCACTTTCTTCCCTCTTGAAGTATCTGTTTCCTTAGCTGTACTTCAGTTCACTTTTATTTGTAGCTATAGATTGGATAGTTTGGGGGGGGGGGTTACAGTAATATAAAATACTTTATTAGTGTAAAATCAGTTAGCTAATGGGCAGTAGATGCTCTTTATTTAAAAATGTATACCACTACTATTATTCAGGCTTGTTTGGTTATAATAACTTTCTGATTTAGAGGGAAAGGAGCAGAAAACAAACCACCGAACTAACCAAAAACCTTTTGACTGAGGTGCTGAGGTTGAGTATAGAATATCTGAGGTGCTTATATAAAGTATAAGATGGGAAACAGTAATGCAGATGTTATAAAATGGGATTTATAGATATGGACAGTCATGAACCATTTGTTATGGGATGTTGTACTAGTCATTTCACTCAGGAAGCAATGGGGAACTGAAGGGCAGGGAAGAACCCTCCTCTGAAGCCTGGGTTTATTCCACTGTTGGTTTCACCAGAGTTTTTTCCCGCTGATGACTACTGCTGGCTGCTGCTAGTGATAAGGGAGAGGAAGAGAGGATCTGTCATGCTGCTCTTTCCATATCAGTGTGGCAGAGAAGAAGGGAAGTATTTCTTCAGGGAAAGGAAACCAATACAAATTTCCCTGGAAAGGAAAAGAGCACTAGAGGAATTCAGGAGCACACAGGAAGAAGTGATGTAAGGGGAAAATAATACGAAGCAAATCAACACACACACACACACAAAAGCTCACCAAAAAAAAACCCCACTACCAAAAAAAGCACCAGAAATTGGCTGAGATCCATTTCAGGAAATCCCAGTAAAGCTGAGTAACTTTGTCACATACAGAAACACAAATCAAGGGAGGACACAAAAGATGTCAGAGGACCACTGATACAGTCTCTCTCACCTATGGTGGGCTCCAAAACTTAACAGCTCTGCCAGGCTGATATCATATGTGGACCTCAATTGTACATATTGGGACCGTAGAGAGGCATGGTGAGAAATGGCTTCGGTTTTGATTTAAAACACAGTCTGAGGTGTGCCAGACACTGCCTAGGGCTGTAGAAAAGCTTTACTTCTCAGGCTTAGCCTGAAATGGCAAATTTTGCAGCCCGCCCTCTGTTGTCACAGTGCAGAGAAGACATTGTGCCTTGCAGCTACCTTCTTGCCTCCTGTCTTACGGAGGAAATTCCTCTGCTATGGCATGTCTGTACATCTGTGATGTTAGGCATCTTTCACAAGGTCTGTAAATGTGAAAGGCTGGGTCGCAGCGTCAGGATTTTCTCCATTCAGGGTTCCAGAGCAGGGAACAATGTATTTTAGGGCAGAGCAGAGGCAATGGCAAGAACTCTTACCAGGCCCTTGTGCAGGTTGAAATTGTGAACCTGACTGATGCTGTAGATGAAGGATGCAGAGCATGCGTATCAAGTTTGACATATGAAGGAAATACCAGAGACACAGTGCTTGTGGGGCAGAGTAGCTGTGCACGGCATGCCCAGTGCATCCCAAACATGCTAGATTTATTAAAGGTATGCCAGCCACTTGATGGAAACCAATGTTTCTTGGGCATGCTAGAGCCATGCTGAGCATGGTGCGCCAAGTGTTCATGTGCCCCTCGCCTTGAGCAACCCCTGACTCTCATTGTGTAGGTTTGCTCTTTGCTGAGCCCACAAACCATGTCTCTGCCCCACCAGCTCAAGCCCACCAGCTGGAGCACTGAGGAGGGAAGGTGGAGCCTTAGCAGTCTCCATTCTCGTGGCCTCCAGAGGAGGAGGAGCCAGCAGCCCTGGGGAGCTGCTCCCAGGAGGAGGCGTCCAGGTAGGCTGAGCAGGGGGATGGGATAGGGTGTGGATATGTCTCTGGCATTTGATTGGAGAAGCCAACTATCTCCTGCCTGAAATTTGTTCTGACCACTTAATGTTTGTGTCTGGAAGTGATGGCTAAGGGGAAGTGTGCTCCAGAGGAAGAACTGTACTTATTTTCAGACAGATTTTTGCATATGCTTTATAACCATGACTTAACCAGGGTGAGGCTCGGTGAGAGGAATGGACCCTCTTCACCAAGCAGCATGCATTTTTCTAAAAGGTTTCCCGTTAGAGGTTGCATGTATTTACTGCTCACTGACAGTAGCACTTGATTTCAAGTTTGCCTAAAGAGCAGCTGTATGTGTGCTTCTTCCCACCCCTCCCTTCCCCCCCTCATTTCCTCTTGTTATTCTTTTTCAGATCACTTGAAGGTTTTTTCCTGTTTATTATCTGGACATGCTGTGCACTGTGTGTCGATTTGACTGTCACATAAGGAATCTCCTACTGGGATCACTGATGAATTCCTTTCTTATATGTGTATATATATATATATATAGCAATGGCTTCTAAGTTGAGAGGTGTTGGCGATTAACACAAAGTGGAATGAGCTACAGGTGTTAATGGGAGTCAAATTTAATTACCCTTTCCCAGAAAACCTGTAACAGTGTGATGGGTATAGTCATAAACAAAATTTCTCCTTAATTGACATAACAGGAAAGGTACTTCGGTGAGCAATTATGCTGATGTCCTGGACTGGCACATATGTGTACCACAAATATATCTTGTACTTCCTGCAAAATTCTTTTAAGTAGCTACAAGGAAGGCATGTGGTTTTTTTTTGTTGGTTGTTTTTTTTTTTCTCCAGTGGTTCACGAGAACGAATCACTTACTTAAGGCTCTTTTTGAGGAAAACAATGGAACAAAACAATGCTTTTTGTACGACTTGCCAAAGCACAAAGGATGCATGGGATGTTTTTTTTCTTTGGCTTTTTTTTTGTCAGCAGGAAGTTTTGTTGTTGGAAACGACTATAACATGTACTGTCCTTGCTCTACGTAATCACTGTCTGGTCCTGCGAGCCGGGTCTTGTTACTTGCCTCATCAAACTGGCACAGGCACCATTCTGCTTCATTCTGTGGGCTTTGTTCACTCCTGAGTGTCCGCACACTTGCTCTCCATCCGGACTGATGCACAGTAAACAAACTCCAGGAGTCGGGTGGTCCAATGATCGCTGGGTTCGAGCAGGTCAGGGCCCATGGCTAGAATGCTGACTTTGTGAATAGCCTCTTTTTTTTTTTTTTTTTTTCCCCTTAGCTTAAAATTGGAGTGCTGCATCGTGCAAGCAGTTCGAAGTGTTTTCAGGTGTAAATCTTCCTTTCCAAAATTTGACTTTGATGTGCTTAGGTCTGCTTTGTTTCCCTCTGGGTTAGTTGTAGGGTTGTAACAAAGAGCCAGATCCGATTGAGTAAATCACTTGTGGAAGTTAATTGTTCACAGTGAAAGCTGGTCTGGCTCATTTTGCCTCCGTCGCAGGAAGACACAGAGGTGGTGGCTGGATCTGCGTTCTAAACCAAGCATTGACGCGACTTTAATTTTGATCCGATGTCTCTCTTCAGGGCATTAAAGAAAACCTGCTCAGTAATCAAAAAGAGACTCTTCTCTAGAGAAACGTAAGGAAAAAATATTTAATGCATTTTACAGAAATAAAGTACTAATATAAAATTTCAGTTTTGTCAAATTTCTTTTGCAGGCTGTCATAAAAGAAACCTACTTTTCTGTATTTGCCAGTCACCAGAATCAAAGAATGATTTTTTTTTTCCTGGAAAAAAGAATATAAAATTATTTGTAATATCAGATATTGTATGACGGTAACTTTATGTTCCAAGTGTTTTATTCATTGCTGTTCTGTCTAGATTATGTTTGTGTCTTCTCTCCATGAAGATTTTCAAATGCTTTTCAGAATCAGTTATGTGCTTTGATTTCATGAAGTAACAATCTTCTTTTATTCTCCCTTTAGGACTGAAGCAGTGAGAATGGAAACGACAAAGATTAATATGTCCCGTGTCCCACTGGTTAATGGAGGCATCGACACTGCCATGCTCAAGGCACACAAACCTCGTGTGATGTCCAAAAACGGTCACAGCAACGTGCGGATTGACAAAGTTGATGGCATTTACCTACTCTACCTTCAAGATTTGTGGACTACAGTTATAGACATGAAGTGGAGGTACAAACTCACCTTATTTGCTGCTACTTTTATTATGACTTGGTTCCTCTTCGGAGTTATCTACTATGCCATTGCATTCCTTCATGGTGATTTAGAAATAAACAAGTTCACCCCAAAGCGCGAGCCATGTGTCAAGAATGTAGACTCTCTGACTGGGGCGTTCCTCTTCTCACTGGAGTCACAGACAACCATTGGCTATGGATTTCGTTTCATTACAGAGGAGTGCCCTCATGCCATTTTCTTACTTGTGGCCCAACTGGTCATCACCACCTTGATTGAAATCTTCATCACAGGTACCTTTCTGGCGAAAATTGCAAGACCTAAAAAAAGGGCAGAGACTATTAAATTCAGCCACTGTGCTGTCATTACAAAACACAATGGGGAACTTTGCCTGGTGATCAGAGTAGCAAATATGAGGAAGAGCCTTCTGATACAGTGTCAGCTGTCTGGGAAGCTTCTTCAGACATACGAAACCAAAGAAGGGTTGAATCAAGCTAGTGTTAAGTTCAATGTTGACTCCTCTTCAGAGAGTCCATTTCTTATTTTGCCTTTAACGTTCTACCATATTTTAGATGAAAGGAGCCCTTTGAGAGATCTCACACCTCAAAATCTCAAGGAGAAGGACTTCGAGCTTGTGGTGCTCCTGAACGCCACAGTGGAGTCCACCAGCGCTGTCTGCCAAAGCAGGACTTCCTACATCCCCGAGGAGATCCACTGGGGCTATGAGTTTGTGCCTGTGGTTTCTCTCTCTCCAAATGGAAAGTATGTTGCGGATTTCAGTCAGTTTGAGAAGATTAGGAGAAGCACAGATTCCATTTTCTACAGTGTGGACTCTGAAAAACAAAAACTAGAGGAGAAATACAGGCAGGAGGATCAAAGAGAGAGGGAACTGAGAACAATGTTGTTACAGCAGAGTAATGTTTGACTGAATGGACAAACTATTCTGATTAACCCTTTTTGCAAACTGAAAAAAAATATTATCTGTGTCGTATGTCTGCTATGAAACCAGCAATGAAGTCCTTTTCAGCAAATAGCTTTGTTTTATAGTAAACCTATCCTTCAATTTGGCTGAGTTGTTAATCAAGTATTTTGTAATTAGGCAGGATTAATTTGTTCGTGATCGTGACTTACTTAGCAAAATTGGATGTGTATTAAGTCTGTCTTATACCACCACTAAAAGACACACCACTTTCTGTTTGGAAAGTGAAACTGGATGCATTGTGCTGATTCTTTCGAATATTTATTTGATGTGGTTTTACTGTGAACATGCATTCGCAGAGGCAGCACACAGTATTGCTAGAATAAAATATGCTCCTTTAAAATATACATATTTAAAATGTATACTCTCATGCCAGGTGTTGCCTTCACAGGGATTCCTGGCACTGAAAGTAAGTTGACTGGAGAGACAAATGGTTGGATGTGGGAAATGCTTGCAGGGAGGTGATAAACTCCTTAAATCTTCAAGTAGGGTGACAGTAGTCATGCTAGGTGGTAAAGAAAGAAGCTCACTCAGTTACTCAGAGCTTGTTTTGTGATCGTTTTGTGAGCACTCACTTTCTGAACCTTCTTAAATGTTTGATTTAAATATAGCAGCAAAAGCAGGAGATGAGGGCAGGATACACAGAACTGTAACAGTAATCAGCTAAGGTTAAAGCTGGTTTTGAGACACCTATTTTTTATCCAATGTAAATAGTTTGTAATAGCAGCATAACAATACATTTCTACAGATTGCTTGCTTTGCTATGGACCGTATTTAATTTTGGTTAAAGGAAAGCTGTATAATGTCTGTAGACAATATTTAGTTTTTCTGGCAACCGTAAAGGATAAGCATTCCTTTCATCCATTTAATTTTTGGTCTATTAAAACCATTCCATTAATAAAGGAATTTAATTTGAGCAGCTCCTGATCTCTTTGTGGCATGGGGAGAAGGTGTGGTACCTCAGAGATGTTGAAATTGCTGAGTGCTCGGCATAGGCAGTTGCATGCAGCCAACAACGCAGGAACTCCGCAGATTACTAAAGCAGTCAGATTATGGGTAACAAACCAGGTAGCACTGTTGTCCACGTAGCATGCCTATTATATATAGGTCAACCTTTGAAATGAGAATATTTCTGACTCGCATCACTTTGGCGGCTTACTGAGTTCTAGAGATTTTGCTGTTGTAAAGCTTTGGCAAGGAAAAGCCATATTAAGTATGAGTTTTGGGTCTGTGGGCCAGGTCTTGGCCTGAGAGCCACCAAGGCCTGCAGTGATGACAGTGCTTAACTTCCCAGCACCGTGTGGCCTAGTGGAATGCAGACTGCAGGCTGCCATACAATATTCTATACAACAAATGAATCTAGCTTGGGGCCTAAAGAGGCACACAGCACACTGAGCACATAGATGACCACGGCACTAAGAATGAGTATCAAGAAGGAAGTGCATACTGCGAGGAGAGGGCATGGGAGAGAGCAGAGAGAGTGGTAAGGAAGGGCATAAGAGGTTTTAAATTTCTCATTTACGTAAATTATTAACTCTCATGTGTGAGAAGTCAGAGTTCCAGGTACTTGTCTGAAGAGAGATACAACTTAATCCAAGAAGGCTCCCTACCCACTACAATGTGAGTAAGGTTACTCATACCATTGTAGTTGCAGGGCCCACGTAGCCTTTTTGGAAAGAATTTCTAGATGGTATTATGATGTGTTATCACATAGGTTTTCATTTGCAACCACATAAAATGATGTTAATGTTTAAATTAATGATTGATAATTTTCAGTTTTCTTCACTTCGTCTGCTCACTTGTTTTGTTGCAAGGAAGTGTGTGTGCTCTGTGAATTTTTGCATTTTGTAGATCTGAGTTTCATGTCCTACAACTCAAAGAACACTGCTTTGGGATGCAGAGGTGAAAGTAGGCAGGTGTCTTAACCCTTCTTCTACCAAGCCTTAGACTCCATGTTTTGATAATCATACACTGCAACTCTTTTTTTATCTGGGTAAGTTCCCAGATCAACCCCAAAGTCATTATTCCAGTCGTATTGACTGTGTAACTGCTTCACCAAAAGCAAGTGAGCCATTTCGTCTCCAAAAAAACCTGATGAGGAACTGGTGCTCTTCCTCCCATCCCCTTCCCACCCCTGGAAACAAAAGGAGACATGTCAATTTGTATCTTTATGGTGAGTGCTCCATTGATTTCAATAAACCTGTTTGTTAGCGCACTTTTTTGGTTGTATCTTAAGAAATTCTAGTGCATTGAGCTGTGTAAGGTACACATGTGCTAAGTCCCAACAGGTGTACATATTTTCTGAGTGTCAGATCTAGGAAGTCCAGAGGGTACCCAGATACAGCAATTTCCTTGCATGGAGACTTTTGTGGCATCCATTTAGGAGTGTAGAAATCAGGATGCTCAGAATGCTGAACAGTAATGTTTTAGGATCTTCACTTCAGACAGAGACTTCAGCCCGAGACTTCAGCCCTCATGTACACCAATCCCAAGGTTCAGTCGTTATGTTCACTAGGCCACTCCAGTCATTAGGTTATCCTGAAGAAAAAAAAATCATAAGACAAAGCCTTGGGGAAAAAAAAAATCACAGAATATATTAGCTCGGAACTTTCAGTGTTACAAGTCTTCACAAAAAGAAAAGGAAAACACTAGAAATCTTTGGTAAAACATCCTTCATCAGGTAGGGAGAGACTGTGCAATAGTATTATATCGGATGTTAGGAAGAAGTTCTTCCCTATGAGAGGGGTGAGACACTGGCACAGGTTGCCCAGAGAGGGGGTGGAAGCCCCATCCCTGGAAGTTTTTAAGGCCAGGCTGGATGGGGCTCTGAGCAGCCTGACCTAGTGGGGAATGTCCCTGCCCATGGCGAGGACGTTGGAACCACATGATTATTAAGGTCCCTTCCAACCCTGACAATTCTATGATTCTATGATTATATATATATATTAGTATAACATATAATGCACTGCTATTTGTTCATTCCAGCTTTACAAAACAGTCTTACTCTGCAATAAGCTGTACTTTTCCCTTCTGTTTTCATGCAAGCCTAACTTCCATTGCTCTATCTGCAAGTTAAGAGAAGTGGCCTTGGAGCAGCAGGCTTAGCTGCAGAGTACTGAACTGCAGTGGAAAAATGTCATAACGTGGATCTGATATGAAACCCACAACGTCTTACTGCTTATGGCAAGCTCTTCTGGTTGTGTAAACACAGCTATGGTGGTTTACCTCAGCTGAGGACTAACAGGATGGAGAATCAGAAAGAAAAACTTCCATGGCCATCCCAAAGCTCCCTTACCCATGAGTAACGACTGTCCTGTCCACATGGTGACTGAAAGTGTGAAGGCCTTCTCGGTGGCCAACTGCTTGTCCTTAGGGTGCCAGGGCAGAGCATCCACAACTCCAGCAGGTCAGGTGCCTACACAGTACCTCTTTCTACTTTGAGAACCACTGAGTAAGGTGACTATACTAGTCTCTAAAATGTACTAACTTTATGAATAAATGTAAATTAAATCTGAATCTAAAATTTCAGGGACTAAAGAAAGTCATGGAACCCCATGTTCCTGTGTACACCAAGTCCATGAGTATGTCTGTCAGGCAAATCCTCCATTACAGCCACTAGATCATTCAGAAGAAAATAGTCATGGTAAATTAAAATTTACTTTTTAAAATTTACTGAGGAATATGACATATTTATCTTTCTTTTATTTGTGAGTTATCAGTGAGCAGAACATTTTTGGAGTAATTTTAATTATTTGGACTCACGCAGCACACAGCTGAATGGGAACTTATTTCAGCTCTTGGACTCTTTCTGAACTATTTGCTTTGGCTTTCACTTCAATACTTCATTGTTCCTTTTTTTTTTCCTCTTTTTGGTGTTTTTTTTTTTTCTGTGGAGGTAGGTGATTGAAGAAGCATAATTTCACTTCTGTTGCTTCCTTGCAATGACTTCGGAAAGGAAGAAATGAGCCCCCAGAGACTGAAGGCTGACCGTGCCGGAGTCAGATCCACCATCCTTCACAAATGTTTCACTTCATCTTCCAAACTGGCAATAAAGTTTGTGGAAAGCCAAGAATTTGACAGGGGAGCATAGTGGTCTCCAGAAAAATGTGGTTCTCTAATTTTTTGAATAGAGGCAGGAGGACAAATAGCTGTTAGGTTTAAAAGATACTGTGGGAGGGGATGCAGAATGGAAAAACAGACAGAAAAAAAGCCCCAATCATGCACACTCATACTCGTCCATATGACTGAACATTTGCCACTTCCATAGCATGCCAGGTTAAAAAAACCCACAAGTCTCTCAGATTTGCTGAGATGACTCAGAGGACTGGGAAAAATGAATGCAAGTTCTGTATTTGAACAAATGTTCCTGATGACTTCTGAGTGTGTTTGCTCAGTGTCAGGGTGACGACAGCCTGATCTTGAAAGAGAACAGGTAAGACTCTGTGACGACTCTGTCAAACCCCTGATGGAGAGAAGCTTAAAAAAGCATCATGTATGCTCTAGCTCTTGCTTATTCATTGCTCATATACTGTTTGGCTGCAGAGCAGTCATGTCCTGGTCACCCTCATGTTGTTGGGATTACATGAACAAAGGAATGTTACGCTGACTTGCCTGTACAGCCTTCAGCAGATACTCTCTGCAAATATTAGATTACCAGAACAGAGCTCTTTTTAATGCAATAGGTACTGGTTGAACATCCTGTACCTAAATGTCTTGAAAGCTTTTGGAGCATTTCCAGGACATCATACATTCCTTCAGCAGAGACTGCTCAGAGCTGCCCTGTCCTGCATGAGCACATAGTACACACAGCAAAACAACATAATTCCACAAGTAGCACAACATGCTTTTTTTGCAGCTCCTCTTAACAATAAATTCTGCAACAGTCTCTGTGCACTTCACCATATCTCATGGCTGTTAAATTCATTCCTTCTTTACTATCCCCTGCA